GTCATCTTTTTTTTCCCATTCGAGATGTGGTTTTTTTCTTTTTTTTTTTTTTTATGTGATTTAATCATTTGAAGAACTTCCTTGGTCCTCAAGCTAAACTACTGTTTTTCATAGACTTCTTTAAAAGGAAGACTGGAGGAGGGACAGATGGAGATTTGTTGTTCAATTAACATAGTTTCAGTTTAGCAAGATGGAGAAGAGATGCTATGTAATAGTGAACACAGAACTCTTAAATGTACTGCTGAACTTTACACTTAAGAATGGTTAAGAGGGGCCAGCAGGTGGTGTGGTGGTTGAGGCACTGGACTCCCACATGGCTGACCAGAGTTCAAGTCCCAGACCTGGTGGCATGCTTTCTCACTTTCCCTCTCTCTGTTTCTGTCTCTTTATGGTCAAATTAAAAATAATAATACTAATAAATAAAATTAAAATAATTCTTTTTTTAAAAAAGGATGGTTAAGAGGCTAAATTTTATTTTATTTATTTATTTTTTTTGGAGAGGTTTTCACTACAGGGCGTGTGCGCTTGCCAGAGAGAGAGAGACATAGAGACAGAAAGCGAGAAATCACCCCCCAGAGGGGATGGTCACGCCACAATCCCTTCTCCTCCATTCTCCTCTCAGGATCTTGGGCACGCACGCACACGTGCCCGGCGTGAGTTTTAAGCCACCAGGTCCGGGACACAAACCGCGGTCGACTACGTGGTAATCCAGCGACAAAGCCATTACGCTAACTGCTGGTTCCCTATATTATGTATTTTTAACCGCAATTTCAGATATTTTGAAAGGAAAGGAAGACTGGGTATGCTACCTCCAACCTAAGCTAAACTTGTATTCATGACATGGTGTATAGCAAATTTTATAGGTCTTGATGTTCACCTAGACTCCCCTTTAAGACTGATAGTTGCCTTGGGGAAAGAATTAGCAGTAGAAATTCTGGGCAGGAATGAGGGGAGTGTTGCTTTTCACTTTCTGCATCAAGCAGTACGTAGGAATGGAGACAGGTGATTTTAGCAGTATTGGTAGTAGAAACCGTAAATGAGAACGTTATTGGTAACTACTTAGGAAAGGATTTACTTAAACTGTTTTTTGGGTTGTCTTTTTTTTTTAAGTTAGGCTACTTTTGTATACTTTTTTTTTTCTTAAAAAATAATAATAATGGGTCTGGCAGGTGGTATGGTGGTTAAGGTAGCTGGACTCCCACATGGCTGACTGTGGTTCAAGTCCCGGACCTAGCAGCTTGCTTTCTCACTTCCCATTTCTCTCTGGTGAACTTCAAAAAAATGAAAAATAAAATAATGACAATGAATAGAATTAAATAAAAAATTATTTTATAAAGATAATAATAATAAACTGTGGAGTCAGGAGGTAGCATATAGTGGTTGAGGTGCTGGACTCCCAACAGAGCCGACCACAGTTTGAGTCCCAGACCTGGCGCTTGAAAGTCATGCCAGGCGCATGTGCGTGGATGCCCAAAATCCTGAGAGGGGAGTGGAAGAGAAAGGATTGCGGTGTGGCCATCCTCCCTTGGAGGTGGTTTTTCGCTGTCTCTCTTTTTCTGGCAAGCATATGTGCCCTATAGCAAAAATCTCTCTCAAAAAAAAATTAATAATAATAATGTGAATTCTGCCAAAGCCACTTATTAACTAGTTTCCTCTACAATGAGGCTGCACAAAAATAGACTTCATTCTGGGAGAGTATCTTATTTAGACTTTAGTTTAGATTGTCTGGTAGATGCCAGAATTCTTACTTGGTTTTCTTTTCTTTTCAGTCAGTACTGCTCCCCAACCTAAACCAGTAAGTATAAGGTGTTTCTGTATTTAATTCTGATTTGTGGGATTTAGGCATGAGTAGTTCTGTTATGGATGATCCTTTGTTTGGAAACCAAAGGAAAAAATATTCCCATGCTTCTCTAGCTTTCTTCAATAAATTCCTAAACATCTTCAGCAAGTTTGTACTGGTGAAGTTTCTATAAATTTGAGTGTGTCTGAAAGTAGACCACCCCTACAGACTGCTCAGAAGAGCAAGATTTGTTGTTAATTTTGTTTTTATCTGGTTTCATAAGCATATCGGCATCTTTTAAATTAATGAAAAACTTTAGAAAT